GTATTGAAAAATACTAATGCATTAATGACTCATTGACGTAATATAATTAATAGATACGTAAAAATATAAATACAAATAAATTTATACCTATAATCGTTTCTAAAATAAATTCGATTAATAAAACTATATGAAATAATTATGTGGCAGTGCGCCCTAACGCCTCCTTGTCTGCGATCGTTTAACTCCGAAAAATTGTAGACAAAAGTCATTGATAATCACATTTGTGTAAATACGCATAATAAGGGAATATTCAATCAACCTAAACATATGAACATATTTTCCTGAAATATTATATTTTAATTATCTCAGGAAGTAAAATATGCTATTAATGTAATTGAATTGAGATATGCTAAGATTCCAATTAATAAAATAAAAAATTAGGATTCGAATTTTCATAATTATTAATTTAGTCATATCATAGAAATTAAAAACATAAATCTAAATAGGTATGCGCAACGATTTTTCATTTAGGAATATTCGTTGTGTCTATTTATAGCAATTCGCACATTCCGTGGTGTATTTTTTCTTTTCCGAAGTTATATTTTTCGATGTTCCCTCATCTGGAATTACAAATTAGTACACAAAAAGATTTGATTTAACAATTGCGCCGTCTCTATTCATTAACATTCTCTGGTTTTATGCTCTTCGTTTGTACGAATTATGCTTCAGGATAAATTTGAATTTTCCCCGTAGAAACGAGACAGCTGACTTACAACGCAGGGTTGCTAGGATCGATATTTTGTAGTAATTTAAAAATAAACTTCGATATTTTTGAAATATTCTTAAACTTACTCAGAGTCGAATATAATTATTTATAAATTCATAGACTATTTTTAATAGTTAGATTTTAAAGCTAGATGCGGCAAAATCATGTATACATATTGAGCAATGGCAACATTGCGGAATGTCGGTCACTAACTGAAGTATAAGACTTTGCCCATCACTGGTGATAGGTATTATCTTCGTCTTGCAGGGGAATTTTGTTACTTTGCTATTGGCAACACTTCAAGCTCTTAAGCTGTAATTTTTTGGCTGTGTACATTTGTGTTTTTATTTTTAAAAATTCTTGAAGTTTAATTGATTTTTTTACCGTGTTAATTTTTAGTGATTTAACTCTCAGTTTCATGATAAGTATTAAATGTTCTTAAGGTTTGTGCGGTATTAAAAAGTTTAAACTTTCCAATTTTTGGTGCCGAGTCAGCTTTTTGTTTCATTTTGTTTTATTTTATTCTATTTTCTCTCTTTGTTTATCTTATTTACTTCTTTATTCACAGCTGTGTTGCGTTTAGCTCTTTATTTGTTACAGTGCTTCTAAAACTGCTCGCTATATTGCTTTTTCAAATTTTCTTGGTTTTAAGCTTTGATAAAAAAAATTGCTCTTAATTGAATTTATTATTATTAATATTTTATTAACACACTAATTTATTATTTATCTATTAAATTTTGTTCTACTTACTCTTTTATTTGATCTTCATTCTTGTGGTTTATTATGTCTAGTAACTTCCCCAATTGTAACATTAAAGGCGAGTCAGATCGCTACGTTTCATGCTGACTTTGTGATGGGCTTGCCCATATTAAATGTGCTGGACTGACTGGTAGAATCTTAGATTCTATTCTCGACTGTAAGGGATTGCGTTGGTCCTGTTTAAATTGTAGATCTATTGAAATCGATCTATTTATATATAGGGAGACACGCAATGGCTTTAACGAAATCGGTCGTGATCTTGTAACCCTCACTGAAAAATTTAGGCACTATGAAAAATTGTTCAAATCTTTTAAGTGCCTGAATGATTCTCACGAATCGTAAACGTCCTTCCGATGAAGTAACACTTAGTTCTTCTGTTCAGAAAAGAACGTCTCCTCCCAATGACCTAACAAATCTCTCTTCTCCTTGCCCTCAAGGTGATAAGCCGTCAACTTCCAAAGAGCTCAATTCCCCAAAAGCTCTGTCTAATAGTGTTCAAAATTGAACATGTGCGTTGGGACCAAAGGGCCCACTTATACGGCGTGCAGCAATAAATTTAAGTTTATTATTTTACAATATAAGATAAGATAAGAAATATGAAAGAATAAATACAGTCCACTATCATATCATAAATATGTATGTCCAAATATATTTACATACATACATAAACAAAATCATAAATAAAACTTGTAACCTAAGATATATGTGTATTTAGGCAATTGATTACACAAGTGCAGTGTGCACTTAAAAACAATTCCATAACATGTAGCATAAACAATGTGCACTGTGCACTTAAAAACAATTCCATAACATGTAGCATAAACAATGTGCTACATACATACGGACATACACACACACACATGTATTGAGTTGTACTTAAAAACAACCCTATGTGGTGTGCATGCCACATACACATATATATACATTTAATTATATAGTAAGATTTGTAAATAGTATATAAGCCATACATTTCATAAAATAAAATTAGAATGAATAAGTTCTCAGCTCAATGAAGTCTTTTTCTGTCCCCCACCAGCGGTAAGGCAATTAGAATCTTCATTGAGTTTAATAATTGGTCTTACAAATCAATTATACATTTGGTCATTCGAGTAAAAATAAAGAGCTCAGCCAAGATAATAAGCCCTGTTATTCATAAAAATACAGGCAAATTTAAAAAGGAAAGGAAGAAATCCTTAAAGTAAAAATAGTAAGACGGGTGTATATTCGTGCTTATAAAAGTGATCACATAAGCCGTATTAGTAAGAAACTAAACGCTGTGGCATCATAAACTGTCATTCAAAGAAATACTCAACGGCTGTGAATCGAGGCACAGCAAGGTCAACCAGGCGACCAAATCAATATACCTCCAACGATTTCTTTGGAGAATATCAAACAGTTTGTATTAAAAAATAATAAATATGTCAAACACAGCAGACTTATTAAAACGTCAACAGGAGCTGCAAGGAGAAATTACAGCCCTGTACCAAAATGATGCCGATTTAGAGGGCATTGAAGTGAGGGGGAACGAATTCTATAGCAACCAAGTGAAATTGACAGGGAAAGTAGCACCGAACCACGACTACTTCGTTAACAATATTTATGAGAATGTACGCCAGATATGCGAAGCCGCACATGAAAGGAAACGAGCACAGGAGCAACAAAAAATTGAACAAGCATCCAAAGAGATGGATACAGGGGCTAGATCGAATAGTCGAACTGACAACGCAGTGGATCGTCTAGTGGCCGCAATTGAAACTAGAATCGAAAACATTCGACCTATTATTGAAGAGGCGAAAATAAAAATAAAAATGAATACTGCCGACGAAGATCTACTTGAAAGCTATGAAAACCGTATTGAAAGGATGTGGAGCTTCATAGAAAAATATATAGACGAATTGACCATCAAATACAGCACTCCTTATATCAATGTTGAAACAGAAGATTTATCTTGTGAAGTCATGGACATAGTGCGAATGTTAAAGAAACAAAAAACAGTAAATTTAAAGAAAACAGAAGACAAATTGGAACTGCCAAAGATAGAATTACCAAAGTTCTCTGGTGAATTACGAGAATGGCAACAATTTAAAGAGCTTTTTGAGGAGTATGTTCATGATAATAAAGACATTAGTGACTCCAAAAAGCTGAGCTATTTAAAAACATGTCTGCAAGGAGATGTCAGACAAATGGTTAGTCACCTGATAATAGGATCAGGTGCAAATTACAATACCGCCTGGGAGTTGCTGGTACGCAGGAATGATACCACGCGCAAACAGTTTAGCGACAATTTAGAGCGGCTGGTAGAGTTACCAATGCTGACAGATGAATCAGCGTATAAAATGAAAAAGTTTTTGGACACCGCGAATGAAAGCATCGCCATAATCAAAAAAAAAGGAACGTTAGAAGACGTATTAGCACAACTAGTGTTAAGAAAATTTTCTAAACAGTTACTTCAAGAGTATGAAAACACCGTTCGAAAACCGACTGAGATACAAAATTTGTCGGATGCAATTTCATTCTTGGAGCACCAATACAATACTCAGAATTCCATGCAAGAATCAAATAAACATTTGTTTCGAGGTGTAAACTGGCAACAACAAAACAGATCATATAATTTGCCTACAGAAACAAAGAGACAAACAGGAACGATAAGTTCTCGAAAAAATTGTAATTACTGCAAAATGGCAGGACATGAAATAACTCGATGCGAAAGGTATCAAAAATTAAATGTCGAACGTCGAATAGAAGTAGTGCGCAAGAATCAGCTATGTTTTAGATGCTTAGGACAACACGCAACAAAAACTTGCTACAGAGCATGGAAATGCATGGTATGCGACAAATCACATAATACGTTGCTACATGAAGATAAGCCAAGTACGCAAAAAATATCGTCAAATATGACTAAGCAGAAAAAAGAGGAGACATTTTTAGCAACCGCTATCATAAAGGTGAGAACACCAAAAGGAGTCTTAGAACTACGGGCTTTAATAGACAGTGGTTCGCAGAAAACGCTTATTTCTGAGGAAGCAGTTCAGATGTTAGGATTACCGAAAGTAAAGGTAACGACTGAGATAAGCGGCGTTTCAGCAGAATGCGTAGAAGTCTCGCATCACAAAGTAAATCTGGGAATAAGACCCAGATTTATTAGTAAGTTTGTAGCGGAAACAGAGGCCTTGGTGTTATCCAAATTACACAAAGCACTTCCAATAAAAAGCTTTGAAAAGAAGGCGTATATATGGAAAAACAAATTACTTACATTGCGCGTTCGGTTACGTATTGCTCTTGCTACCTACAATATAATAGATATATTAGCAATAATTTGATTCAAGGCAATAAAACAATGATCACCAATTACATTATTATTTAAGTTTAGAAACTATCAAAGAACACTTTTGAAAACAGGTTCGTAAGATACATATTAATGTATATATGATATATATGAATCTCAAATGAAAGGATAATCATATCTTGTAAATTTATAGAAAATCTTGGATTTGTCGTTTGAAAATACATTATATTTTTATTTTATTAACTTTAGATGTCAGTCAAAAGCTAGCCGAAAGCACAATTCAGGTTATGTGAGCTCTGAAGAACTGATTCACTGCTTGTATCCAATACGCCAAAATGTAAGTCCTCCGTATTAAGGCACATAAAATGAGCTCAGTAAATGGACCAACTGCGACGAGCATGAGTTCTTCCTCGACCGGAAAGCCAGCGTTAATACGCCAGGATCGTACTTCCACTTATCTTACGAGTCCCCTATCTCCAACAAACTCGTCTTGGATCGGAGGAAAGCGTAGTGTCGGGAAGATAATGCGAACAGGATTACGGCCAGGTAGTACGATATTGAAGTATATGAAGAATTCAAATAAACAGCAAACAACCCAGAAAATTAGAGTCAGACCATTTAAACAGCAACATGCACACAATCAATTCGATCCAACTCCTGCAAAATTTCTCAAAACCATATCAATAACGAATTTGAATACGTATCAGACATTAGAAAGGTATGGTAATCCGCAATATCATGGGAACATCATCATATCAGAATCTTTCTTGTGGTATTTCTACCGTGTACAAAATCGTTGTCGCGTTTCGTAACTGTAGTCGACGAGCATCATACGCCTCTCTCCACTACAGCCAGTGTTGGTATGGACCGCTCAACGTCGAAAGACAGTGTCAAAGTGCCTTTCAACAGGGTAACTGTCGATTTCCACTCGGCGATCAACAAAACGCCCACCGTCTGTTTTGTTCCGTCACCTACGAATGGATCTCGCATAATCCGTCAAAGCTCTCAGCCAGAGTCCAGTACCACACCATTTGTTGTGGAGCACAAGCTCTTGCGGGCACTCGCACACCGTTCGAACGTTTCTCTGAAGATTTTGCGAGATAGTGCGACCGATGGAATTGCAGGAATAGCTGCCGATTCGTTACCATAAACGGTGGTATGCGACCTTTCAAACAGGTAATCAAACGCGATGTATTTATGTAACTTTTATCCTCGTACACGCTAGGGTTCTTACTTTCAAATGGAATATGCATAGAAATACCACTCATTTCCATACATACATGCATAGGTTAATTGAAGAATGCTTACATTCAAAAGTCTCATATTTACAACATTATAATTTATTTACATACAAATTCATATGTGAAAATATTTTGAATATAATATACTGTATGTCATTGAACCTACTCATGCATTAAAATGTTAAATGAAGAGAGGAATAAGATATCCTATCAGTTCTAACAGTGCCTTTCAAATGAAGTGTCATGGTTGTATATATTTACATAATTCTAATGTATTCTTTGTCTAATAAATATAATTACACTAATTTTCAAATAAAAATTATACAATTAGTAAATCAAATTATGCACATGGCATGTTCATAATTTGCCTAATATAATCTCTCTAAATTTTATTAATTTTCTTCATATGTATTTCTGCAGTTTCAGGAAAACAAAATGTAAATCAATATCAATATTTTTGAAAGTTCATCATTTGTTATTACAGTCTGTATTACTGCTATTACTCATATGTGAGAGTGTTTAATTTGAAACAAAGTATAGATCGTGGCGATTTATGAGATAATTCTTTAAGGCTGATGTGAGAATGCTCAGAATAAACACATTCATTCATATATTCATATTTAAAATTAGTTAAATTACAACAATAATTATATTTACAGCTTTTTCTTTTTATGACATATCAGTACTTTCGCATAACCATATATCTGAATTTTGTATGAATATAATCAGTTGATAAATAAGTTTTACCAAAATTTTTCTTTAGGGTGTTCTTCTAATGCCCGAACATTGTCGAAAGCCGAAAATTACGCCTAAGAAGAGCTTTTACAGAAGCACTAACAAACATCAATGCTCTAAAATGGTATTTAATGAAATCTAAAATTTCAACTAATTGTTTCACGTACATTTCATTTGATTAGGGAGCCAATGTATGCCTGCTTTTCCAAAATGCACCGTTAAGCTAGAATAAATAGTTTAAAACACAATTATTAAAGTTGATAAATATAGTAGAAAACACATATCATACATCGAGGATGTATGCACATTAATAGTCAATATAAATGTATTAGTTTAGAGATTCCCAAAAATGTCTGTGAAAGCACACGTTATGTGTAATCAATTTTATACAGCTATATTCAAATGCACTTAATAAATTAAATGCACACGTTTATTTGTATTTCCGCTGCATACTGCACTACACCGTTTCCTGCTTGTATATGTATGTATATATTTTATGCATTTATATCCGCATCTAATATCCAAAGAAATCGCTTTGAGGCCTCAACGCGATGCATTTCAGATGTTGAAGTGAAAATTTATTTAAAGGCCATGTACAAATTGTGCGCATGAGCTTTAGAAGCGTATTCAAAAGTTTCGTAAGGTGAGCAAATGAAATGAATTGTTAAAATAAATTAAAGTAAACACTGTTTGAATAAATAGATACATATATATGATATATCTACGTACATGTGTATACAGTGAACCACCTTTAGATTTTTGATAATGTATACATGAAGGTTTGTATGTAATGATTTTCTCTCATTAACCCATAGAACGCCCATTGTTTAAAAATCATACACAATTTTTATGTCTTGTAAATTTGTAAATTTAAATCTTAGAATTATAGAAGGTTTAAACTAAACTCCAATATAAATATCAATTTATATTTTCATTTTCGTTTTGATTATTTTGAAAATAATTTCACAAAAAGCTTTGGCAAAATTTTACTTTAGGTTAATACAAATGACAATTATGAACCACTAAACATAACAATTGAGTGGACGTTTATTAGATTTATAAAATGGTTATGCATTTAGAATTGGGATTTACAAAAACTTATATACATACTCTAACAGGTTGTAAATTTGCAGCGCTCGCATTGTTTATAAAAACATCAAAAACGATTTCTACACATTTTTAAATATATCCACGTGGTTTTAGAAGTGGTAAGGACTTAAATTTTCAAAATCACGTTTCAAAATTCAAAACGACGAAGTGGGTAATTGTTCGCAAAATGTGGATAAAATTCTTGTGAGTGATATGAAAAATTAATTTTGAACAAATTTACAAATGAGAAATAGAAATAAACAAGAGGATCATTGTTGGTATACTACAGAAATACCTATATACATACATACTCTTAGTGCAATTCTGACTGAAAGCTAATTATTATTTTCTTCACATTTGCGTATCATACATATGTATATTATTAACATATGCAAATTTTATTTTTAGCTCTCCCAAAATGAAGATTTAACAAATGTCCAAACTTGATATAAGCATTTTAAAATGATTTCGAAGAAGTATACTTCAAATTGAGTAAGGTTCACATACAATGTGAAATGGGAAAATATTTGAAAATATAAATGGGCAAACCATTTTGATATCAAAAATTATATCCAAAACATTTGAAGGAAGCTAATTCTTACGAATAGTTTGAACGAGAGCGTAAATAAGTTCTAAGTTCCATTAGGAGAAAATACTATAAAAGTTAAACGATTTCAACACTGAAATGTCAACAGAAACAATACTTAAGCAGGAAGAAATGTTTGCAGTAATAGTCTCTCTATCACGTTTATTCCAGGGTCATTTGTAAACTGTGAAAAATAGATGAAAGCAAAGTTTCAGCAAAATATTAACAAAGCTACAACAATTTAAATAAATAAATAATGTTTTTCAAGAAACTGTATCTTATGACTGATTTTTACTCTCGCAACCTGTTGCTACAGAGAGATATATGTTTGTTCACCTAAAACTAATCGAGTTAGATAAAGGTTATATATATATATATCAGGATGAAGAGACAGTTGATATCCGGGTGACTGTCTGTCCGTCCGCCCGTAAGGTCTAACTTGAGTAAAAGTTTAAATATCTTTATGAAACTTGTAGCATGCTCTTGGTACCGTGAGACGTTATATTCAGATGGCGTAATCGGACCGCTGATACAAAACATATTATTCAAAACAAATAAATTGCCTACTAAGATCCACAACAAGATACAAGACTCTTCTTTTATATCTCGCAACCTGTTGCTACAGAGTATAATAGTTTTGTTCACCTAACGTTGTTTATCACCTAAAACTAATGAGTTAGATATAGGTTATATATATATAAATGATCAGGAGGAAGAGACGAGTTGAAATCGTGATGTCCGTCTCCTCCGTGCAAAATTGTAACAGTAAAATTTATGTATCTTTATGAAACTTGAACATGTTTCTGGTACCTAGACGTTGGTATTGCAGATGGGCGTAATCAGACTGCCACGCAAAACGCCATTAATCAAAACAAATAAATTACCATAACTAAGCTCAATAAGATATAAGACTGTTATTTGGTACACAGTATCACATTAGGAGACATCTGCAGTTAAATTTTTAAAGTATTCTCTAATAGGTTTAATTGCATATTTCTAAACCGCTAATGTTATAATAAAATTCACTGAAGCAAATTTTTAGAACCTCTACATTGTGAAAATAGTTGAAATCGGGTGGCAACTCCGCCCACTCCCATATACGGTACTGTTAAAACTACTAAAAGCGCGATAAATCAAGACTAAATACGCAGAGACATTAAATTTTATCTCTGGGATGGTATGAGATGACTTTATAGGAATCGTCAAAATTAGACAGTGGGCGTGGCACAGTACTTTGGTGAAAACATATCTTGAAATCTGCTTAACCGATTGCAACCAAATTCGTACAGTATTCTTCTCTATTTCTATGTTATGTGCGAAAATCAGACAAGCGCCTACTTCCCAACACCATTTTTAATTCCATCTAGTTCTTTCACTTTCCACTATGCATATCAAGCAACAATGATTATATCAGGGTAAAACTTTGCGTGAATAACCATCCAAGCCCCTAAGTATTTAATATGTGGACCCCAGTACCTATAGTTGACCTTCTACCGAAAATATCGGCAATCCACAAAGAAATCTCAAACGAGTTACCCATTTGACTTTGCGAGAGTATAAAATGTTCGGTTACATCCAACTTAGCCTTCCTTACTTGTTTTTAACTTATTTGGTCTTAAGTTAAAACTTTAATTTAACTAAACCAAGATTCTTCTATTCCTAGCTCGTAATTTTATAATACCTCAACATTCATCGTTCGACGAAGTCGTGATTGATGACAATCAAATTTGTATCTATGGCTCATAGACTATAGGGTCATATACTAAATTATTTTTGATAAACCTATAAACCATAGAATATCTAATACTACCTTTCAGTTAATTTGCTAATATATCTCACATATTGAACAATACATACGGTATAAAGCCCCCGGAGGTTTGAAAATATTTTATTATATATATGAGATAGGTAGATATTGACTAGATTTTATCTATTATTACCATTACGACGTATTTTTAACAGAAAGAGGTGGTCTCTGATTTTTATTAGCGACGACCGCCACTCTCACCAGTACATATATATAAGGTGTAAAGTCAACTAGATGTCTGAAATTCTTGATATTAGTTATATGAAGGTAAGAAACGTTTTCAATCGATTTTATCCATTTTATGCATATTACACCGTTATTAGAAAACAGAAATTCTCACCGAATTTCTTAATATAATATATCTCACATATACCGATATTTTCGATAAAAGTTCAACGGAGCTGGTTCACATATTCGGTATCTGGGAGCTAATAATTTTGGTCCGATTTGACAATTTTGATTAGGTGCATTTAAAGACACTATTTGTGCAAAGTTTTATTCGATACATTGATTGATTCTTGTTCTCTGAAAGGAAAGATACAGATGGAGTTTAAAATTGTGTTATATGGAAAGTAGGTGTGGTTTTGTTTTCGATGATCTTGATTTCACCTTTTTCACACTGTGTAGGAATGTTAGGATAATACTACCTATCGAATGGGGTTAAATCGGTCGAGAAGGTCCCGACATATGAGTTTCACCTGTATGTAAGCGGTGTCAC